CAGGGCCCAGCGTGGGCGCGGTGGAGGCTGCGCGCCCCGGCCCGAGACACGCTTGTCCCGGGCCCGGCTCAGGCCAGCCACCGGGCTGGGGCGCACAGGCTCCGACCCGAACCCCAGCGTCCCCCTAGGACTCCCCGGAGTTGATGCCGCCGCCAATCCCCTTCCCATTCCGGGTAGACCGCCGATCTTGGGGGTCAAAACTTGTCATTCTGCCTGAGCTGCGAAGGTAGGAGGCCGAGGCGGGAGGGTGCCCGGTGGGGACTGCGGGCCTCTCCCGGCCGGCCACCGCCTTTAGGTCCCTATCTCCATGTTGCAGTTTCTTTCCTCTCTCTATTAACACACTTTGTTTCCTGCTTAGCTTTGCCCGGTACTGGTCTTGCAAGGGAACGAAATCCTTTGGTGCCCGCTAAGTCTTAGGAAGCGGTTTCATGTAAATGGGGGAGCGTCCGGTACCAATTCAAAGCGCAACAATAAAATTAATTTGGCACTTGGTGCCTGTAGTAACTGGTGTGCAGCCATATTTTTCCAATTAAGAAAATATGTGGCATGCGTAGAATCACATATTTAAGCAAGCAATTAAGTTGTTTATAACACGGTCTGTTCCTGTTTAGGCCATTAAATGGAAATTTGGGGGTGAAATAGAGATTATATTGAGACTATTAATCACCTTCAAATTTGAACGTCTTGCTCTTTGAAGCTGAAAAGTTTGAAAGGGATCCATCCACTGTGTGAATGTCAGGAAACAGACAAAGCCTCTCCACCCTTTGACAGAATCCTATGGGGGTGATTTTCTAATTATACTACGATCTCCTTAAAAATATTTTGCTGCTAAATTAGGCCCGCATGTTTATGATAATGTCCGCTTCCTTCCCAAAGGAAGGACAGCTAGTTGTCCACAAAACGAACTCAGAGAACTAGAAACGCCGCAACACTGCAGCTAGAGGCCAACGGGGGTGAAGGTGAGGGGTTCTTCCTAGACTGGGCATCAGTTACCCCTGGAAGGTGCTGGCATAGCTGTCAGGGGCCCTAGTGCACCCCCACCCCCTCCTGTGGGCCCATGGTTCCAGCCCCCAGACTCTAGAATGTCGGAAGGTGCGGGTAGGTCTAAAGCCCGGGTGGGTGCAGTCTCTAGGCTTGTTGATTTCCGCACTCTACGGATCAGAATCCTGTTGCAAGGCTCTGCTGGAAGTGATTGTTAACACTCATGCTGGTTGAGATTTGGGACTGAGAAGAATTAGAAACCATCTCGCTCATCCAAAAGCGGCTGTGACACCTTAAAAGTCCAGAAAGCGACTAGGGCGCAGAAGAGGCAGGTGTGAGACAGTTTAGGTTGCTGGGAGAGGTTCCCTGCCCCTCGGTGGCTGCTGCCCTCATGCTCGCACCGCTTGTTTTTGAAAGGAAGGACAGGGAAGTATCAACGGATGTGTGTAAACTCAGGCAGGGGGGGAAATGCATATTTTATTAAACATCCGAGCTGCTGGATGCATGAAAAGGCTTTCAGCAACCAATAGAAACCGAGGACAGCGAATGTTCTGCTTGAACCTGTTGATCTCTGTGGGTTTAAGCGTTTAGGGTCGAGTCTGCGTTTCCACGGGGGAGGGAGAAGCAGGGGCAAAGCGGTGGTGGGTTTCGCGGACCCCCAAAGCTGGTTTTGCGCGTCTTGCCGGCTGGCCCGGTGTGGCCGGCGAGCCCTCCAGGCCGCCAACATGGCGTGGGCCCCGGTGGTTGGGCGGCCTGGTGGGTGGGGGGCACGGGGGACAGCAGCTACCAGGCTGCCTCCGGGGGAGGCCCCGGGCGGCCTGGGACTCGGGCCCCCGAGCGCGCGCTGCGCCGGTTTGAGCTCTCCCGCTGCCGGCCTTCGGCCCAATTGTTCCCCAAATAGACCTGCAAGTTTGCAAAAGGCAGGGAGGTGGCGGCGGTCAGAGCTGGCTGAGAGGAGCCAGGCCCGCTGGGCTCGGCTGATGTGAGGGCCAGTGCGTGGCCATGGCCGCGGCCTCTCCGCGCCCTTGTGCGGGGACCGCGCTCGGCCAGGGGCCCGCGTGGCGCTTTGATTTGTGAGCGCGCGAGGGGGTGAGTGCTTCGGGCTTGGGCTGCTGGGGGCAGGACGAGAGCAGGGGGTCGCCCTCGAGCTGGCGAGCTCCGGCCGGCGGCCCCCCAGGCCTGACCTCTGTGCTTCCCGGGGCGCGTCCTCGGTGAGGGGGAGGGGCTGCACGCGGCTTCGGGAGGGGGCAGGGGCTTCCCCCTCTTCTTTGAGATCAGCCTGGTAACGGGATTTGCTCTGTTGTTTTCGTGTGTGTGTGTGTGTGTGTGTGTGTGTGTGTGTGTGTGTGTGTGTTGGCGCGCGCGCACGTGAACGCACGTGTGGCCCCGTCCGTGGTGCCCCCTCCAGTGTCCCCGGAGCTGAAGGACCGCAAGGAGGATGCGAAAGGGATGGAGGACGAAGGTCAGACTAAAATCAAGCAGAGGCGAAGTCGGACCAATTTCACCCTGGAACAACTCAATGAGCTGGAGAGGCTTTTTGACGAGACCCACTACCCTGACGCTTTCATGCGAGAGGAGCTAAGCCAGCGGCTGGGCCTGTCCGAGGCCCGAGTGCAGGTAGGAGCTGGAGCCGGGCAGGGCGAGCTGGGCACGGCGGGAGGAGGGCGTCCGCCTGCGGGCGCGTGGCGCGGGCTCCGGCCTCGACTAGGTGAGAGGGAAGGAATGTTGGCCCTTGTTCCTGGGGAGGGTTAGCCTTTCCGCTTCCCAACATATGTTCCCAGCAGAAGAAAGCTGTGCTGGGCTTGCTCCCAGAGTTTCTACAAACCACACCCCCCCTCGCCCAGCTCTGGCTTTAATGTGGTTTAATCCTAATGGGCCTACTTTTATAAGCCTTAAAAAAAAAAATCCCACAGAAAACGTTTTATCTCTGGATGCTTTAAAAGTTACAGCGATTATTTTGCTAGCGCGAGTTGGGTTTCTCGAGGGTCTGCTGCTTCGGTGTCTAGGTTTGCCAAGCGGATATGCCAATTAGGTTTATAGATGTACTGACTATAAAGTAAATTAGTAACTGTTAAGTGCCGAAATTTACAGTCAGCCGTTAGCGGTGCATCTCAAACTGCGTGTGCAGCAGTGGAGAAATAAATGGCCTTTTGGCCACTCTTTGTTCACTCATTTAACCAAGGCAGCAAAACTGAACCTACAGAAACTCGATTTTAAAACAACCACCCACATTTTCTATTAGCATTTTCTTTACTAGACTTTGGGGGCATTTAAAAGGAAGAGAGAGAGAGCGCGCACGAGCGCAAGAGAGGGAGAGACAGACAGACAGACATATCTCTATTGAGACAAATTGAAATATTTCAGATAGTATTTCCGCTCAAATAATAAAGTAGGAGAAAATGATGGTCATTATTTGTTTGAACACATGGAGCAGTTTTAGGCCTCCAACATCTGCAGCTGTTAGAAAGTATGGCTGTAACAGATACTCCCTGGGTCTCTGGGCTGCAGAGACCACCATCTGCAGCGAACTATGCACAATTCTTAAGGGGCTTCCCCAGTCTTGTAATAGGATCAGGATAAAAATGGAGCAGTCACGTTGAAGGGAAAAAAGTACTACAGGCTGCCTTGCTCATCACAGCATCAGCCACACAGCTCTCCTTTCTAAGCTGCTCGTGCTTCTCTGTACCCAGATCTCTAGAGGCTCCTCAATCCCTTAAAGATGTGGTAATAATTATTATCATTATGAACATTAGTATCTCAATTTCCACTCTTCTAGGGGGGAAAAGGAGGCAAGAAGCCACGGGTCATACGAGTTATAGGAAGGACAATACCCTGGCTTGAAAAAAATCCACCTTCTTATTCCATTAAAAAGCAGGGGAATTGTGGAAGATTTACATTGATCATGACAATGGCTTCACAAACTTACCAGCGCTAACTCTGAAGCAGTGTTTTACTTTCGGCAGCCTTACATTCTTTTGTAAACTAGTCAGTATGCTGTTATTGTTGGAATTGAAGTATTAAAGCAAGCAGTATTTTAATTTTGCAGAATCTGTCACCCTGCCTCTAAGAGTTGGAAGATTTATTTTAAAAGATAGTATAAGGAAAGGATAGTACCCGGAGTTATTTGATTTGTCTATCTCTCCCTAAATAAGTGTTTGGATTTTCCTTTTGCTAAGTGCACTTTACTATTCCTCTTTTTCATACATTTATTTAAGTTTGAGAACTCTTTTCTGGATGCTTCTCTTCCATCTTAACTGGAAGCAGTGGCTTTTCTATAGAAGCAAATTAGATTATCATGATAATAGCACAATTATTCTGCTACTGTGTTACACTCTGCTGCACAGAGGAACAGAGAAATTCAAAACTTCTTTGTAGTGAGGATTTTATGACACTAATTACCTCTCCCCCACGTCTAATGCCCTCCTCCCCAAAAAACAAAGTCATTATTTGCTTTGGTGTTTGGTTTTTTTTCTTGAAGATGAAGCTAATTAATATTACAGACTATTAATGAGCACATTCTTTTCAGGTCATACTGAGCAAACATCTAAACCCATTATCACATTGGTATCAGGTATCCCGGAGAGTTCTAGGCCTTAGGGACCCTGTAATGTGGAAAGATGAAACCAGGACTAGTAGTAATTTATCAAGAAACCCTTATCTTGCAAAAGTCAGGAAAACTTTTTTCTCCTCTTTTTCTAGCTTTAATTTTTAGTTTCAAAAACTGGCACTTCTATATCATTGAAAGGTTGTTTGCCATATCTATCATCATCTAAAGCACTGTAATTTTTAATTCTTCTGTATTCTTGTAGTTTTAAATTTGAGGGTCATAATAGTAAGTTAGATTTTTTCCTTTCACATTGCAGGTTTGGTTTCAGAATCGAAGAGCTAAATGTAGAAAGCAAGAAAATCAACTCCATAAAGGTATGCTTCCCATACAAGGAACATTTGATATTCTAAGTAAAAAGACCTAGCGAATACTCTTAGGACCAAAAATTACTTTTCAAAGATGACCCAAAATCTTAAATTAAGAAATGTTTCTTCAGAAACTTAAGAATTACCTTAAGGTTTGGGAATAAGTACATGTATTTTAATTATGGTATCCGTTTATAATTATAATAATCCAGTTCTAAAGGAATGAGTTCTATCTCTGTACCATTTGTGACAGTGGAAGACAATGCTATGACTATTCACCTCTGATCACTCTCTTCCCCGCCCCCCATTTTTTCCCCTAGGTGTCCTCATAGGGGCTGCCAGCCAGTTTGAAGCTTGTAGAGTTGCACCCTATGTCAACGTAGGTGCTTTAAGGATGCCATTTCAGCAGGTAAGCACAGCCTAGTTTCAACCCTTTCTTCTTAAACTGTGATAAGACTTGGAAACTTGCTTGAACTGTTGAATATCCCCTCTCCCAGAGTCCCAGCGTTGGTGTCTGAGCAGCTAGAGAATCGATAATAAGATGATATAGTGGACCCACTTCCCTTTAAAATCCATATAGTGTCAAAGGCCTGCATGCCTAGGCCCTTTCAGTCCTTACCAGAACCCCGGAGGGCCCTCAGGGCAGTAACTGGTCCTTTAAAAAATGCACTAAAGATTGCACTTGGGGAGAGGAAGGAAAAGCCTTTTGATTAAGACTTTGTCAGCTCCAATACAGAGGTTAGTCCTAAAGTGTTTCTAAGGCAACCTTCAAAATATTTTTTCCCAGGAATTTTCCACCTCTTAGTCATATTAAATGCCTCTGACAGAAGATAAATAAATAACTAAATAAAAGTCCTCCTAACTCAGACTTGATTATATATATATATTTTTTAGCCCTCTCTACAAAGAAAGCTTTATCTCTTGGTCTTCTCGGGGCTGCCCTACCTCCTCAAACCTTTTTTTAGCTATAAAGAAACCTCTAAGCCCACATTTTAGAAAGACAGCCTATAGCAAGGATTTAATCCTAGGGAATCCCAGAGCTCTCAGCTCCCAGATCTCTCAGAGCCTGAAGGTATAATCCTTTCCCACCTGGTGCCTAACCGTGTCCATCCTGGCCCTGATGAGCATCACTGTTATGTCAAGACTTGGCACTCAGTCGCCAGTGCCTTAGTCAAAGGAGACAAGTGATTTCACCAGTGTTGTGAGTGTTCTAGAGAAATTCTAGTTCTCTTGGCGCCTCAGGATTCTGGAGCTCTGTTGTTGGACTTTTGAAGTGAAAAGCAATGACTGGAGAAAAAGAGAGGGACCTTTAGAAGGAAACTTCTTCTCAGAATGTGGCTTTCCGCCCCACAGCTTCAGCACCACCTGGGGGATTATTAGAAACCCTCAGGCCCCGCTCTACTGAATTAGAATCTGAATTTTAACAAGATTCCCAGGACATTCTGAAGGCAGTGAGGATTGAGTTGTAGGGAAGATAGAGTAACTTCTCTGTGTGACATGGAAAAGTTTCAGGGTTTGCTTGTCAGTAATACAGTGCTTTAGTAGTGGGGAAAGAGGGGGTTTTGACAGGAAATGGGGTTAAGAGTGCTAGCGCTCGGTTTTCCCAATATATCATTGTTATTTTGAAGAGGTTTTAACACAGTAACGATGTCCCCAGCCAGGTCTTTGGCCCAGCTTCAAAAGGCGGGCCCTATCCCTGTCCCATAAGAGTGGCCCATATGGAGTGCCATAAGACAAGCCCATAGTGAGAGAGCTGCAGAGACCTAGGGCCTCTGGAGTATCCGAGAAGGTCACTCCCAGGGCAAGATGCGCAGCTAGACGATCCCTTCCCTCCCCTCCCCCACCCCTCCTCCGACTCAAGCTGGACGCCGTTAATGCTCTGTTTCTATTCTCGTTGTCACCCTAGGATAGTCATTGCAACGTGACGCCCTTGTCCTTTCAGGTTCAGGCGCAGCTGCAGCTGGACAGCGCCGTGGCGCACGCGCACCACCACCTGCACCCGCACCTGGCCGCGCACGCGCCCTACATGATGTTCCCGGCGCCGCCCTTCGGACTGCCGCTCGCCACGCTGGCTGCCGACTCGGCCTCGGCCGCGTCCGTGGTGGCCGCCGCCGCCGCCGCCAAGACCACCAGCAAGAACTCCAGCATCGCCGATCTCAGACTGAAAGCCAAAAAGCACGCGGCCGCCCTGGG